TATATACAATGTTCGATGACGTGGCGGTGCAGGAATGGAGTTTAACTGTAAAAGAACTAATTACAGAATTAAATGGCAGCAGAGAGGCAGCAAATGTAACCAAAGTGGGAGCCAATGTTCATGATGCAGCGCCCCCTATGGGCTCAGCACCAGGCTAAAATTGTGCCAGCAGACACTTACTTATGGCATCTCTGTCATTCCAGCTGCTTACAGTATATTGTGTCGGTACCTGGTGAAGATTGTTTGCCTTTTCACCACCATGAAATGAACAATACGTCACCTACAGATTAACAGCCTAACTTCATTATTTTATTTTATTCCAAGCAGCACAGTTGCCTACTTGGTTTGTTTTTTATCATTATAACAATTCTTTTATGTTAAAAGAAGACAGCGAGAGAGGACTCACGTGGAAAAGTCTAACTCTGACAATGAAAGATATTAGTGTCAAGAAATTCCTAGGCAACAGTGTGTGTGTCTGTTTCCACCTTGATTTTATTATATAATATTTCCTCCCTTTGTACTCAGGAGAGCTTTTTTGCAGTAATATTAAAGACAGCACACCTCCAGCGGAACCATACTGCCCCCTGTTGAGAAGAGACAACGCTACCGCTTATCCAACGTTTCCCTCCACTCTGTTCAATCAAACAGTAAAAGCTGTGACAGCATAAATGCCCTGCAATTATAGATATAGATAATATAGACAGTGGCGACATTAATATTGAAGAACACAGGCTGTACTTTCTTTTTCTTTTAGCTCTGCTTCATTAGAACATTGTTTTATTAGTAAGATATGCACCCTGTGAAGTAGTACTACAGTAGGTTGTCAAAGTACCAGTGCTTTGACTAAAAAAATAAAATATACTGTAGACCCCAACAAGAGTTGGCCTGGAAGCCTCTTAAACAGTAAAACATGCACCAAATACTACTGCCCAGGGAACACTGTCCACGTGGTTAAAGAAAAGCTATATGTATGACTAAAAAACTATAATTTGACATTTAAAAGAAAATAATCAATACAAAGTAACATTTTCATGTTATCATGAGCAGAAGAAAATAATTTATCTGGATGAAGTCACATTAGTAGTAGTAAACTAAAAGGTCAGGTGATACATTTAAATGAACTTTTGTCCCAAACTACATGTATTATTGTCCGTATTCTTCTGACAGTTTATGACTAAGCACTCATTACTGAAGCACCAATAAGAGAAATGGATTTGTGACGTCAGCGACCATCGTTTTATCTTCATCCATTAAGCCACATCAGACACACTGACGTTCCAAAGTAATAGGACAATCTGCCACCTTTCTATTAAACAGACCATGAAATTGAATGAGCCGGCCTCAATGTTATTATCTTGATGTTTCCCCATCTTCAGTGTACGACATTTATTATGACACGAGAGCAGAGAGAAAACACAACAATGTATTCTTGTTATTTCGCCACTGACTGGTGACGGATGTCAAGTGACAGGCCGCTCAAATAATATATAAATATATTTGCAAAGTTCACCATTTAATTTGTCGTCAGAAAAAAAAAGCAAGGCCTTTGTCTCCCCTCTAGTGGTAGAATGGTAAACTTTACATTATTTAAAAAATATTAATACTCAGTAATAATTACTGTTAGCTGAATGAAAGTCTGCGGATGGGGGCCTGACGATTCAAGCAGCATTTTAATGGTCATCCCTCCTGCATGTGCATTATGGGAAGTCGATATTTGCAGACCACACATTCTGGTCTGATAGCCAGGAAACACTTCGTAATCCTCTTAAATAATTGTACTGTGTTGACTCTGACTCTGCAAAACAGCGGTGTCCCTCAAATATATATATAAGAATGGCTTGCATTAAAATGGTTCCCCAAATTTCTAAATTTCCAAACCACAACCATAAACAAGTCAAGTCAAATTGTTAGTAAACAAACAGACGGCAACAAAAACGACACGCAGGAAACAGCAGCAATAAATAAACCTGGTCATATACAAGGTGGTAAAACACAGCAGGACTCACCAGTGAGATGCGGAGACGTTGGGAGTCAAAACCAGCCGTTTTCCATGAGTTGTCAGTTAGGTCTGTTTACGGCACACGTTATAAGTCAGTTAGTTTGCAGATTATTCCCTTTGCTTCGGTCTGGTCCGGTTCAGTCAACCTTAAATCTTGGCCTGTCACGTAGAAAACCTTCTTCATTTTGTTGAGGGTGTTAGTTAAAAATTATCTTTTCAATCGACACAACCAACATCGCCCTAGCTGTCAGCAGCAGACCTAATTAGTACCTAAATTGCTCTCACTTGTGTCTGAAGTCAACTGGATTGGACAATTCTGCTATCACTCTGTCAACTTAACTCAGTTAAATCAAATCTCAAATATTCAGTTTAATATTATAGTGAAAATGAAAAATAAATGTTAAAGGTTGCATTTCTAAGTGAAACTATGCTAACTGTTTTTTTTTTTCTATTGGAATTACAAATATTAACTCTGGCAGGTGTAGAAATTATTGGTTTCTCAGATAACTAATTATTTTATTAATTAATATTTTCTTGCTTTCGTGTTGTATTACCTGCAAAATGAAATACAACAATGTATATGAGGTTTATGTACAGTATATGCCACAGGTTTTGAGATCCTGGAAACTTGATGATCATTTCAAATGCAAAATTCGCTAAATTTTGAATCCTGGATTAGTTAAAACTCCATCTTGCGAACAGGACAGTACATGTGCCTGTTTTAGATACTGTGCTCATTTAGGAAGCTCCAAAAATGTTACTTTGTGTTATTTTTACTCTACGTTCATGGAAATCATTTTTAACTTTTCACTTTTCTTCCATTAAGATAAACCTGGCTAAAACAGACAGATTATTAGAGTCAGGAAATGAATTTCCAAACAGGATTCCTGGAAATCTCAGCAGCCTGTGTGAACTGTTGATTCACACACGTACTGTAGGTTTAACTAAGCTGATGTAAAGGCAACAGTACGGGGGAGGGCCTCAGAAGATTAAAAACAATGAAAGTCATCTTTTTTGGCTGCAGCATACAGTGATCAAAGTGTAGGGACATAAAGTGTTCAGCCAAGTGTATCAAGCCTAACAGACAGGACAGAGTTGGTTCAGGGGTGACACTGATTTATGCTGCAGAGCAGAGTGTTCTTTGTCTGCACGGGAGCAGAGGAGACACAGAAGGTGTGCAGACATATAGTGAAATCTTGTTAAACTGATCAGAGCAGACTCGGCTCAAACCGACATTTAGACGTCAGACTGAACCTTTGGAGTCTCATCTGTTTCACATGCAGGATCCAGGTGGTTGAAGGCAGTTCTCTCTCAGGCGCTGTAAGTCCTTTTTGTAACTGTGCACCTTTTTTTGAATACATAGTACTATTGTCTATAGTACTATCTTGATTAGTATGTCATAATAATATAAATTTTAACTTTATATTTATGCAGTTTAATACATTAAATCTTCGAGAGGAAGCTGGTGGAGCGTTCTCTGACGTTCACTCCATTCCAAAACAGACAGTATCTTATTGATAAATGTTCTGTCATTTATTTTATCAATAGAAATGTATATATATATGTTAAACTACTCTTTAGTTTATTGTGATTTAGTAATGAAACCCTATATAAAGTTTGTATGGTTCACAAAGTGATTTTTGTTTATCTTAGACTTATTTAATTTAATTTAATTTTTTTTAGGAGAACACAGAAAAAGCCTATCACAGCCAGAGCTGTGTGAAACAGATGCTGATGTTTCCACTGTGTACCATCAGGCAACAGATTTATACTCACAGCCATGAATGTCAACAGTTTTCCTCTCAGCTGGATTCCCAGAGGTGATTAGAGCTTGATAGAATGTAAACATGCGCATTGCTGCGCAAACATCTAAAAATATGTCAAATCAGCACTAGCAATGAGCTGATATTGTGTGTGAGACACATTTACACAGCATTAGAGGGAATGAGGACATGCACAGATTACCCAGAGAGCGTGAGAGGCTCTGGGAGAGACAGGAAGATAAAGACAGGGAGAGGAAAAGAAGATTTAGGCCTCAGAAATGATAAGAATACACACTCATCTGTCAATATCTACACAGCACTCAGTGTTCACAGCATGAAGTAAAGACAGGCCGATTTCACGCAGAACACAATCTCCTACTGTGTCCCTGCTGACAATTACACCCTGTCCACATGCAGATATGCTGCGCTCAGTCTCAGTCCGTGCTATCATCAGCCTGGTTCACAGTAGTCGGCCGTGTGACGTGACCAAGGGCATCAAGCAAACACTGGATGTTTGCTTGATTCGGTTAAAGGAAATGTGTTTACTTATCAAGTTGTGTCAATATGGACAGCACGTCTGAATAACACTTCTGTTTTCATATAAAATCCAAAAATAACATGTTTGAACAGTTTTACAAGTGCCAGAGAACTGTGAAGTATACAGGTGTGTTTTAGTCTCGTTTTTGAGCAATAAGCAACAAGTAGCCAAGAGTAAAAATATTTCAGAGTTCCTGTTTGACTATTTGTGTAGAGATCACATGTACTGTTCATTACACTGAACAAGTTCACAAAGATTACATTCAGTTAAGCACAAAAACTACTAGTTGGTTGTGTGTGTTTGTATATGACAGCCCCACGATGGAAGAAAGACTGGTTCAGGGTGTGAGTTTATATCCTTAGTAATTCTGAATAATATAAAGTAGATAGATAGATATGTATAAATGTAGTGAAAGAAGAATGAATTGAAGAACAACAACATCAACAACCAGTAAAAGAAGATTTCACACAGCAAATTAGTGTAGGAACTGTGGAAAGAAGAAGATGATTTAGATTTTTAAATAATGCTTTATTAACAGGAGGTGTAAAAACTGTAAAGCACGAAACAATCAACAAATTAATTTAGGGAAATTTTAGTTCCCCGCAGCCGCCTGGAACAGAAGAAGATTTCGTGTTTTCACACAGGGACAGACCACAGGGTGGGCCGGTCCTTGATGCTGTGGTCCGGTGGAGACCAGACTGAGGCTGAAGCTTTGTTTCTACAGGATCACAAACAACATTGACACATTTGAACAACAGTGGGCTGTTGTTCCAGGTGGCTGGCAATGAACTGCATTTTGCACAGTTCCTACATTCGTTTGCTGATTGTAACTGTGTGTTTTACAGTTTTTACACAAACTGTAAAAGAAAAAGAAGACAAAAACCAAACAAGCATTGATTAGGCTCGTTGAGATGCACTTTTTCAGGATGCATTCGTTATTTAACATACTCAATTGAAGTCATCAGTTATTTTCAACTTCACTTTGTTATGGAAACAGAAAAATCTTCCATTTTCAACAGAAGCTCGACCATTTTGTGTGTTGAGTCCCGTATGTCTGACCCACTGACACATTTCTGTGTTGCAGACCAGGTGACGTCACCGGGGCGGAGCCACAGAGGCTAGAAAACAGCAGCTGCCTCCAATCCTGGCTGAATTTTTGTTTTTTTTCGCTTTCTGTCTTGTTTTGCGCTTATTTTTTGCCAACGCGATAACTAACCTTAAGCTTTGGCATAAGTTGTTCGGATTTTTATTTGTCCGTTTTAAAATAATGCGGCTGCTTTGCGTATTTCCACCGCAAAACAGCTTTTTGTCCCGCGCTCGTTCCCTCCAGCAGTATCCTGGTGCTTGCTTGTTGTTTACAACGAAAATGGACTGGATTTAGGAGGAGAGGACAGAAAGGAAGAACCGTATAAATGCACCTGCAGTCTAAGACATACTGTGCTTTACATATCGAAGAGGTGAGACGTGACCTGCAGACAAAATAACAAAGAGGAAGACAAATGTCTGTGTGCTGTCTGCAACAACTGTGCAGGAGGCTGCTGCAGCAGCTGCAGCTCATTATCCCGCCCAGATTGTTTTCACTTCAGCAGAAGAAAAAAAAGTATCTGATACACATCAAAACTTTTTGCTTTGTGTTTTTTTCTTTTTCTTTTTGTAAATATTTTTATTTTTGTTGCCGTTGTGTCTCGGAAAATGGCGATGTGTCCGCGTCGCTAGGTTTCTGCTCCCTACTTGGTTTCTTTGTCAACAAAAACAGTTTCCTGAATTGTTTTTTTTATATATAAGCTGGCGGCTAAAACTGACTGTCATAGTTGTTTACGATTTGTTTTGGCACAATGCCTATCTAAGAGAGCCTCGTCGTTGTTTTAATTTAAGGAAAGTCTATAGTAGTTTTTAAAAGTTTAGTCTATGGTAAAGATGTACTGTGAAATTCATGACTGCACAAATTTAGTCATTTCAAAAGTGTGGTTTGTGGACCCGGTGTGACCCTACAACAGCGTTTGTGCCCTTGGTGAGAACGTTTTTTGTTGTTGTTGTTGTTTTTCTCTGTTAGGATAACCCTCAAAATGTTTTCCTAAATGTCAGCACATTTGGTCCTCTAAGCAGGCAACCTTCTGTGCTTTTACCAGCAATTTATCAAAAGCCTCATGGACACATATAGTTTTGTTTGTGTTCATAATCTAATCTTGTGCAGAAAAGCCCGCTTCATAATCTAATCTTGTGCAGAAAAGCACAAGATTAGCTGAGTTCCCCCAGGGTCACCACACACTGTTTTCTTTAGCCACTCCCTTTACAATGGCTCTCGACGTGTTTTCGCTTCTAGGTGTGTGTGCCCTTGGAGCAGCCTGGCCTGTGTTGTGACGGCCATGAAGAACCCAGGAGCTGCCGAGAACCACCGCCTTGTCACCCTGCTCCAGGGTGCTCTGGTCCGAGAGGCCCGCCTCTGGAAAGTCCCAGTTTTCAAGAATGGATGCCTACAGGTGAGAGTTTATGAGCTGTCCTGTAGGTGTAAACATATACACAAACAATGTATTGATTATTTTAGTTACAGATGTTTATGAACTTTTTTTGTGTGTTTACCTGGGGTTTCTTTTTTTTTTTTTTTTGGTGTCCATACAGGGGGCTGACATCTCATCGTCCCAGCACCAAGAAATGATCCTCTGGCTGGGAGAAATGTGCAGACTGTTCCAGTTCTGTCCTGAGACTTTTGCATTGGGAGTCTGTGTCCTCAACCGCCTGCTGTCCTCTGTTAAGGTCAGATAAAACAAATCCTAAAAAAACTCTGATTAGTGTTTCAGTTATATAATTATTTGTGACAGTAAATGTCTTTAATGTCTCAACCATCAGGTTAGTTTAGAGTTTGCCAGTGTGTTTACTAGTTAATGTTTAATTCATTAGTAAAATAGTGGACACCGTTTTGACCATCCATACATCTGTACAACTGTCATTCACTGTGACCAGATTAAAAAAACCACATTTCACTTGCCACTTAACCCTGTCTAAAACATATACATGGTTTTGTGTAAATCTGTACTCAGAGTGCCTTAATACATGGTTTTGTGTAAATCTGTACTCGGAGTGCCTTAATGTATGTGTGTATATACTGTGTGTATATATATATTGTTTTTTTGTATATATGTATATATATAATTTTTTTTTTCATTTCCAGGCCCAACCAAAATACCTGAAATGTATTGCGTTCACCTCACTGATCCTCGCAGCCAAAATCAATGAGGAAGACGAGGTGAGATGTTCATATTGGGAGACAAACAATTACCACATTGGAGACGGGGTGGGACAAGAAGGTGCACACTGACTTTGCTGATATTTCAAAAACAATACATTTATTTCCATCCCTTGTCCTTGGTGTCTGTTTTGAACAGGTGATTGGTTCTGTTAAAGACCTGGTCGTTCAGAGCGGATGCAACTTTTCAACAGCGGAGATACTTCGCATGGAGCGGATCATTCTAGACAAGCTGCACTGGGACTTGTACATGGCAACACCAGTGGACTTCATTCACATAGTAAGTCTGACTGGAGCAGACAGGCGGGGCAAACAGAAAAGCTGATGTTTCCTGCCTTGTTTAACCGGACCTGAAGTAACAGACCATCTGAGAGGAAGGTGGTTCTGTGAGTTCAAGTCCTGGAGCCGTACAGAAGCACACAACAAACCATCATGCTTGCATAAACATGGTATTAACACACACACTCACACAAACTTTTACCCCTTGCCCTCCTTACCAGCCCGTTCTTAAACAATTGGTCCTTGTAGAGATTGTGCATATAATTAATTTTTACTTTGTGCGCTTAACAATTACCTGTGTGTTAGCCATCTTGGATTATACATAATTCTGCCAACACAATCAAATGAAACAAACTAGACATTTTAATGGCAATTGGTGGCAGCTTAACTGCAGTGACAAGGATCCAGTGGAATATTTCTGATCTAATCATGAGCCAGAGCTCCTGAAGGATGGCAAATTGACTGGAAAAAAAACCTTCAACAATCCACAACTTTGCCTAATAACCCTGCTTATCACGATGGGTGATCAATAATTTGCCAACAGTTCAGTTCAGTCCTAACTGAACACACGATGGGGGGGAAACACTAGTTAAATGTGAATGGAGTTGATATGAGAGTCCTCACTACAATGGCTGTTCTGCACACCAGGCCAAGGCACTTCAGATTAATTCAAACCTGCAGCCTCATAATGGAGACTTGAACCCTGCTGCCACCAGAGGTGTGTGTGTGAACAGAAAAATCAGCTACAACATCATACTTTAGAACCTTTCACAAAACTAACAATTGGGTGTCATGTTTTACGTTGTTGTTTTCCCCCCCATGAGCATGCTGATGTCAGTGTAACACAGTCATTTATGGCACAACACTGTTACAACATAGTTTTGTAAACAGGACTTTAAACCTCACAGATCATTGCCTAACGTGGACAGAAGCCACAGACTGAACCACTGACACATTCACAGCCCTTTGTGCAACAGGGCTGGACTGGTAAAGATCTCAGTGAGAATGGAGTGACTTCATGTTGAAATGGCCAACACACAGTAGCACTGGGCACAATAGTCTGCATATAAAACATAAACCTGTTCAGTGCAATCATAACTTTTTTTTTTTTTACATGTGCAAAGCAAAACATTGACTTGTGATGTTTTGGAACATGACTTGTCCAGTGACTCGTCAGCTCCCTGCTTTGGTTCAGGCTGAAAAACCCTCGGGATGATGTTCACTTTCACGAGTCATTTATCATTGCAATTTAATTGTAAACAACATTAAGTGTTTGAAGTGTTAATGGCAAATTTAAACCAGGCAGCATGAAGTGGGACAACTTAGCTATTTCTTTTTTTTACCATAAAATTATTATATCTATCTGCAAAAAAAGTGAAGTTGGGTTTCCTTAAAGCCACAAACCATAACCTGTTCTCCAAAAGTGTTCTGGCACATTTGCAAAAGAACTGAGTGGATTCAGGTGTGTGTGAACGTTACTGTGTGTTCTCCCGACACTTAACAACCAGTCATACAAAATTCAAGACTTACAGTGACGTGACATATTAATAGTGTATAATAAAATAAAGACATCTTTTTATATTCAAATAAATATTTAACTATACTGTTTATATATCTACTTAATTGCATCCACCGGCCCTGCAGAAAAAAAACCTTCAAAACTCCTCCACCATCACACCGTGACATGAATATGTGACATTTAATAGATGATTCTGTTTTAAATCTCAACCTAAGTGAAACACACTATATATTATCCTTGTAATCAGCTGAAAAATGTTCAACCTGTGATTTAAATTTTACTTGATATGTTTGTCCTGAACTGCCAGTTTTACCTACTGACCTCAGAGCTTCACCACTGAGGAACGTTCACTTCTCTTAAGACCAGTGATTTTTTTTTCCTACACAGAAGACAAATGTGTACAAGGCAATTCAAAGAAACACAAAAACCAAGCAGACGTATTTGGCACATGGTCATTAAATAGGCTAATTAACTGACACAGACTTGATCTTTGTCACACTGACCCCTCGCCTCTTCTCGGGAAGCGACTCCTGCCACCAAGTGGGAGCACAGAAAAGCACTGCACGTACGATACGATACAATAACTATCATTCCTCAGGCAAAAGGAGAAAAGGAGAGATTAACACCTGATGAGAATCTGTTAGACTGTACGGTGATGTGACTTGAATGGTCAGTTAACTGCTACAGTGTTCATGATGGATGTAATGAGTGAGGGACGAATGGACAGAACAATGACATCTTTGTTTCTCATGTCCTCATCAACCTTCGTGTTCCCCTCAGTTTCACGCCATGCTCGTCTCCGGTCATCCCCACCTCATTCCGTCCATTGGGCTCGTCTCCGGCATCTCCGGTTGGGATGCGGCCACAGACCCCCGTGGGCTTCCTGCAGTGTCAGTGCCTCAGAAAAGACCACCCGGGCTCCAGGCAGCATTGTGGACCAGGCAGGTGCAGCACTGTATGGCCTGCCACCAGCTCTGGCAGTTCAAGGGCTCAACGTTGGCCTTGGCCATCATCACCTTGGAGTTGGAGTCGCTGACGCCTGATTGGTTCTCTGTGTTCACCGACCTGCTGAAGAAAGCACAAGTAAGAGAAAATGCATAGGAGGAAGATTTGTTTCTCTCTTTAGTCACTACTACTAACTCTAACAATAAGGATGTGTAGAAGTAACCAGAAAGCAATTACAGTTGTTTCCTGCTGCTGCACTGGACTAAATACAATTTCATGAATGTTCCTTGTGACTGCTGCTAAAGTCAGTTTTCCCAGACTTTGTGTACTTGTGTACGTAGACAACACCTACCTTTTAATTTCTCATTTTGCATCTCCCTTAAAGGTTTTTGGCAACTAGAGCCTCTGCTTCATATTTCAAATGTTTGCTTTGACCTAATAACACCTGAAAGAGCTTCCGTTCACATTTCGTCTCCCCTCTGTTGCAGATCAACAGTGCCGAGTTCATCCACTGCAAAGAGTTGGTGGACGAGTACCTGCACAGCCTAGAGTTCTCCCTGCCAGCCAACGCCATCTACATCTTCGACAGCTCCCAGATCCAGGAGGACTCAGACGAATATTACGACGGCTTCCGGTGCTTGTATAAAGATGAAGAGATGAACCCGGGTAAGGAAGAGAACTGTGTCAAAGGTCTGGTTGAAACCCAGCCAAAAGATGTCTCCCCCTGTCCACCGCTGCACCCTGCTGTCAACTAGCAGACATGCCATCCGTCACCTCATCCACCCTTCTGGGTTTCACACAATTCCACTGGAGGTGTATTTAATCAGTCATGTCAGTCAGCCATTCAAAACCCAATTAATTAATCATGTGACTCCAAATCTGATAGTTTGTCGTGTAGTTAGGTTATAAATGAATTAAGCATAATGGAAATCAAAGTCATTTTTTCCTCCAAGCTGCAACTGTAATAAAGTGACACAACGATAGACTGAATTTTTGTTAAGTATGAAATCGATATAAAATGTACCCTGACTTGTGTAAACAGACAAAGTTTTGTTGCCGTAAGAAGCAGTACGAGATTTTTATTTTATTTTAAATGTCATCAAACATAAAAAACGGAACGATCTCCCAAATGCACTTACGGAAAAAAAATTACTTAAAGTTAGAATCACTCATTTGGGACAACTAGAGATATTTCATAAATATTCCGATCATCTCTGGCGGTAAAATGCTATTTCTCTTCCTATTTATTTTGTGCACTTGTCCTCAGTCTACTGTGAATCTGCCCATGTCCTGATCAGTGTTGAAGGCCTCAGAGCCTGGGAGCTGAATGTTTCCTTTGGGGCAGTTTTGTTGGTCCATTTAAGTTCACCTTTACTAATGATGATGTTGATGCTGCATTTATGAAGTGTGTTAGAGGTCGAGGCATTTGTTTGTGAGGCATATTGGTGCTCAGGTTCCCACCAGAGCCAAAAAGCACTTTGATAAATGGAAAGCTTTTTTTAATGTTTTTTTTTTAAAACTAATTATATATATTTTTGATCCTTTTTATTTTTAATCTTTTTACTTAACCATTCTGTTTTGTTTATCTATATTTTCAAATGAATAAAAAAAGCTTTAATTTCTTGACTAATAGCTACAAAAATATATTTTTAATTGCTTCAGTCAGTTTTACTTTAACTGTTAACATATCAAACATGCACCTTTTGGGAGATATTTAGAATGACCTTGGTTTTTTGTTTTGTTTTTTACGTCAAGGTAATCTGAGTCGTTTGTTAGGATTACATACTTGAAGAGAAGCAATAATCAGAAACGTTACTGAATCTTTGACACGCGTCCACAGAACCGTCACTCCACAGTCAGACAGCTGAAGTGTTTAGATGTGGATCAGACTCTTATTTCATGTCTGACTTGAAGCTGTTTTACTCTGAACCAGTACTTTTGTTTTGTTCTTTGTTTTTTTATTAATATTTCAAATGTGAATTCCTGTTCTTCTACACGGTTGGTAAATAAGCTGTAACCTGGATGCTGCACCAGTGACCAACATACAGTATGTTTTTCACCCGACTCCAGATATTGAGGCAGCTACTGTAGATCTGACTGTTTATGTTCAACACAGAAATAAAGCTACAAATTTCAAAGTTCCCAAGTGTCTGTTCCTCTCCATCATGTTTGCACCACTTCCTTCACCTTTATCAAGTACACTAAAGTATACACTAAAATTAAAAGATACAAGAAATCAGTGCAACATATTAGAACCACCATCAGGTCAACAACCATACTGCAGCCAAGAAGAAGAAACTGCAAGTCATTTTTGAAGCCACTTTGGTCCCAGACC